GACATGAAGCATTTGTCAATATCTGTTGTGCGTTAAGCACTATACTAAGTGCTTTACATTTAATAACTCACCTAATTCTCAAAAAGGTCAAAACACCAAACCAGTTATCTTCAGGTCGATTCTGACTCATACCGACCTTGTGGGACAGAGTGGAATCCATAGGGTTTCCAAGGCTGTAAATTTTTACGGACGCATACTGTCTCATCTCTCTCTCTCATGGATTCAAACCACTTATCTGTTGGTTAGCAGCTAAATGCTTTAACCACTATACCACCAAACTTCCTAGAATCCTATAAAGTCAGTATAGATTGGAGAACTGAAGTACAGAGATGTTTTGGTTTCCTCTGTGTCCCTCTAACAGAAAATACCACAAGTGGGATGGCTTTAACAAACAGGAGTTTATTCTATTGTAGTTTTAGAGGCTAGAAGTCTGAGTTCAAAGTGTCATGCTCTAGGGACTGATTGTAAACCCCTCAACCTTGGGCTTCAGCTCTGTCTCCTACTCCCAGCCCACTGAAGCTGGAGGCTTTTCTTCATTCAGGCAGCTGCTGGCTGCTGAGGCTGACAAACCCAAGGTCGGTAAGTAAAAAAGGCACAGTCCCGATGTTATCAAACAACATGGCAGGCCACTAATTCAAGTCCAGATGAAGTCACAAGATTGGCAGAGCATGGCAGGCTGCTGAACAGTGAGTTGGCTACATGCGGGATTCAAGCATGCCAAAAAGCTGGAGGTGTTTCTCAAAGTTGCTTCTTAGATACTGGAAGCAGCCCACATCCCTAAATCAGCTACTCAGCTGCTCCAGTAGGTTCCACCATGGAGTTAATTACTATTCTCACCATGGTGAGCCAACTGCCCAGCCACTAAACCAGGCCCAGCCAACTTGACACACAACTTTAACTACCACAAGAGATTAAGTAATTTATCCAGGATTAGACAGCTAGTAAGTGGTGAGTCCAAGTCCTCCTGGTTCCAGAGCCAGTCTTCATGATATTGCTGCTGTACTGCTTCCCTGCTGTGCTGGTGTGTAGAGTGGGTCAATGTACACCTCTTAGTAAGGAGGACAAGGGATCATGATTTATTGTCCAAATAATAATATTATTAGAGAACTTAACGTGAATTGACTGAAAGTGAACAAGGTAACTATACAAAAACTATTATGCCCTAGAAACAGTGAATTAGAAAATATTAGAGGAAAAAATAAAAAAATTAACAGATGAGGAGCACATACATAGAATCTATAAAGGCTCTGAATGATGTTAAGACTAAATTTTCCCAGAGAACAGATTGATATAGGAAAAACCTGTAAATTTAATTAGATGTTAAAGAAAACTTGTACTTCATTCCGGTTCTTTCTAATTGATTTAGAAATTTGACCCAGTTGTAGTTTCCAGTGGACATTTTTTTAGTTGACAAAATTAGACTAAAGTTAATCAAAAAGAATAAAAGAGGAATGAGAGTAGAATAACTTTTCCAGATATTTACAGAAGTTATAATTCAAGGGCTTGTTCTGAGATGGTTGCTTTGGCTTTTGGGGAAAAGGTGAGTTAAAGCCTCATTTTATCTACACACTAAATACCACTTCAGACCTCTTAAAGAATTCAATGTAAAATATCTAACTTAGTAAACAAATACTGAAATAAGAAAATAGAAAGATAGAAGAATGCACAAAGATATCATAGGAGTTTGAACAGATGTATTTAGAACATGCAAAAGTTGATCATAATCTAATCTATGAAACATTAAATTCCATAAGGCAGACATTTTTTCACTGTAGTACAACAAAACTTAAAATTGATAACCCAGGTTTACAATTTATAAGTCACTTAGAAATTTAAAAAGTATTTGATATAACTGTTAAAGGAAAAAAAGGAAATGAAAGCTCCCAAAACAGGCTATTTAAAAAGTAATGAAAGTGTCAGTGTAATGGTACTGAACGTATTACAGTATTTAAAGAAGTTCTGGTTAGTGGTCAGATACCTTAGGCACTGTGCCTCCAGAGCTCCCAGTGAGTATATATAGGATTATGTGAATAGAATATACATGTAAATTATATAAACTATATTAAATATAAATTGTATTGAATTATATAGATTATAAATAAGATTATATTCACTATTAATCATACTATTAATAGTAGTAGAGTTGACAGATCAGTGAAACAGAGTAAATATGTGTAAATCAAAACTAATCCTCATTAATTCGTTTTCCCAGGGTTTAATTTTTAAAATCTTTTTTCTAGACCATAAATGTTTCTTCTATTGCTGACACTTAGTTGTGTCTTTTTCAAATGATTTCCTTCAGGAATGTCTCACAAGTTGTGTATGTTGGCACTACATTTCTAGTTTTCACTGAAAAAGTAGAAAAATTGTGTATGACCATATTAACATAATGGAAATTCAAGATTATTGAGGTATGGCTATATTCATAGAAAGAATGCAAAAAGAAGTTTCTGAAAAGATTACCCACTGCCATTGAGTTGATTCCTCCTCATCACGACCCTAAAGGCCATAGTAGAATTGCTCATAGGGTTTCCAAGGAAGCAGACTCTCTGACCTTTCTCCTGCTGAGTTGCTGGTGGGTTTGAACAATGACCTTTTGGATAGCAGTTGAATGCTTTAACTGCTACACCACCAGAACTCCTTTTTCTGAGAAGATTACCAAAGCTGTGTGTGTGTGTGTGTGTGCGCGCGCGTGCAGCAAAGTTGAGATTTGTCTTTTTCAGTAATTTTTAAAAAATTTTGTTTCATTTCTTTTAAGTTAAGCACATATTGATACTAAAATAGAGTATATGAAAATAAACTTTATTTTTAAAAAGAGGAATTATTTTTCTTAGATTTGAATAGAGATTTTGTTTTAAGGCTATGGTTTTGTAATTTGTCCTTGGAGAACAGATAGGATTTGGAAGTATATAAAGAGTATCTTAGGAGAGCAACAGTCATGGATATATAGAGAGATACTAGTTCTTTTCCCATACATTGGTATTTTTTATCTAGAAGTTTTTTCAACAGGATTATTCCATAGTTCACCTTCAGTCTTGTTCTGGTTACCTAGTACCACTCTGACAAGAATATCCTGCAAATGAGATACTTGAACAAACAGGAGTTTACTCTCTTACAGTTTGGAGGCTGTAAGTCCGAGTTCAGAGTGCCAGGCTCTAGGGGCTGGGTGAGAGCCCCTCAGCCTTGGACTTCAGCTCTGCCTCCTGCTCCCGGCCCACTGGAGCTGGAGGATTTTCTTCACTCAGATGCTGACTGCTCAGGCTGATAAGCCCAAGGTTGACAAGTAACAAGGCACAGTCCCGTTGTTACCAAACCACACGGCAGGCCATTCATTCAAGTCCATTAAAGGTCCCAAGGTTGGCAGAGCATGGCAGGCTGCTGCACAATGATTATTTTTCTTAAGTTTGACACGACTCCATGCAGGGTGCAAGCATGCTATAAGCTAGAGACCATTCCCCAAGGGTTCTCCTTACATACAGGAAGCCGACCACATCCCAAAGGCAGCTGCTCAGCTGCTCCCAGTAGATTCCACCATGGAGTTGATGACCAGTCTCATCATGGAGAATACTACATCCAGCTCCCTAGCCACTCAGCCAGACCTAGGCAAGCTGACACACAAACCTAACTACCACAAGTCTTCATTGGTAAGCTCATCCATTCCTGGGAGGATGATTTATTTTGATTTTGGCTTTGTCATGTAGCTTTTTAGTTTTGTCTGTTCTGTTTTTCAACACAACTCTTTTTATCAATGAAAATTTTATAGTATGTACATTTTGTTTTCGTCCAACATCCTTTTGGGTTTTTTATGATTGTTAATTATGCTTATTTTAAATTCTTGTTTATGCTATTAATGCATTTATCTTGAGTGTTAATTTTTCTGTTTTGTTGGACATGGTACCTCTCTTTCATTGTGTTTCTTGCCTTTGTTTTCAGTTATGTTGTTGTCTTTATTTCTGAGAATCACTGTTTTCTGCCTGTTTAATGGTTTTAACATAGTCGTCTTCTGCTGATGGTGAGGTTGTACCTATCAGAATCACACTGCCCTATTTTTCTATATCCAGCTGCTTTATCCTCTGGGTAAAAGGTTCTTGCTACTTAACACAAATGGAGTTGGGGGTGGACAGAGCCATCCATCCCATCTGTCAGTTGGCCATCCAAAGGTTTATCCCTCTCTTCTCATATTACTTAGTTCTGACTTCTTACCCTTAACTCTGGCGAAGTCTTTTCTTATGGACTGTGGTTTCTTTCCTGTTAAATGGCTCTGATCCTGCCTGTTTTTTATCCTTGATGAATTTCTCACAAATACTTCACTATTAGGAGCATTTTTTTCTTGATTTCCAGCCTTTTGCTGATTTTTTTTTTCTTTTTTAAAATACCTCTAATTTCTAATAATTTTGATTGGGGAAAAAAGTATAGGTATGTGCTTAATCATTTGAATTAACTTGATAAAATTTATTTTTAGCAGTATTTTTAGTGATATATCTGGACTAATTGTGGGGTAGTCCTAGCACTATAGATTTTTTTTGTTTTTTAGCACTATAGATTTTTGCGTTTAGAATGTAATTATGAAGCAAGATAAATCACCCATGTTTTCCACTGGGAAACCTGAAATGCCTTGCTCTTAATAGCTCTATTAGCCAATTTCTCAAATATCTCTTAGAGTGTAGATCATTTTGTCAATGAGGATAAATAGCAGTTGAGGTTTGAGCAACTGATTCACTTCTGAAAATCATTGTTTTTTCCCATGTTGATTTGTTAAATCATTTAATCTGAAGTTACTTTCAGAGATGACTGATCTAATGCTGGAAAGAATAAACTAGGAGAGTGTTCATCAGTGCTCTAGAAAATGGTATCATTATATTCAAGTAAAAAACCTGAATAATCTTTTCAGTATTACATATTGTTGAACATTAATTGCTGTTCTTGCATTGTTTCTTGTTATCTTTATGTAACCAAACTCTGCTTTGCTGAAACTTTGTTACTGTGTCTCCTTTGCTTAGACTGACCCCTTTGGAAGCAATCTTCAGAATATTGAAGAAACTAAAAGTGATGATGTAAGTGTTATTAACACTAATTACCCGAAGAGTAGCATGCAAGTCACTAAAAATAAACTAAGGAATACACAGTTAACTGAATATCCAAACGATGATGCTATCATAAAGGAAGAAAAACAAAGAAAGTTAAATAAAAAGGTTACAAAAGCAGTGCTTCAGGTGACTACACAGGAAATGGAACAAAAAACCTCTGAGAGGAAGGTGGACTCTACACATCAGAAAGCACGAAAAAAGTCACAGTCGGGTGTCGCTCACATGAAAAGTGAGAAGGAAAATGAAGGAAACGAGAATAATGATTTAGATGAGGAAGAAGAACTAATGCAAGCATATCAGCTTCAAGTAGCTGGAGAAATGGCACAGGAAATCAAGAAGAAAATAAGAAAGAAACTGAAGGAACAGCTGACTCACTTTCCCTCAGATACTTCATGGCACAATGACGCATCGAGCAGTGAAAGCAGTGAAAAAAGGAAAAAGAAAAAAAAGAAAATGCCAGTCCCGTCTGCAGCTGAAACAAGGTACTTTATGTGGATAAATGTAAAATGCTCTCTTACACACAGTATTATTTTCAACTCTTGAGTGATATCTGAAATATAACAACAAAAAATTCTTAGTCTTTCATTTGGAGATGTTGGCAGAATAAGAATAACAGCTGATGTTATTTACACAGCCCTTAACCATTGTCCCTGAGTTGCTTCTAACTCCCAGGCCTGTCCCATACGTGTCGGAGCAGAGCTGTGCCCCACAGAGTGTGCAGTGGCTCATTTTCAGAAGTCGGCTGCCAGGCATTTCTTGGGAGGTGCTTACCAGTGGACTGGAACCTTTAGTCTTTTAGTTAACAGCCAAGCATATTGACCGTTTGTACCACCCAGGGACTCCTGCGCAGCCCTTACTACCTGATAATGCTTTGCAAGAATTAACTCATTTATTCCTTATAACAGCTCTGTGAGGAAATGGAATATTTTTATCCTATTTTATGGGCAATGAAACTGAGTAAGGAACAGAACTAGTAAGATGCTGAGACAGAACCTTGACAATCTAGTTCCAGAGTCTCTGCCCTTAACTACCCACATCTGCTTTTAAAGCAATAGAAACCTAATTACTTCTCTTTTTTTTTTTTTTTTTGATACTGCCTCAGAAACCCAAGGGGGGGTTGCTATGAGTTGGATCCAACTTGTGGTGGTTTTCTCTTTTTTTTTTTTTTTTTTGAGTTGCAATGCCTGATTCTTTTTCTAAAACACTAGCTTTGATATCTTTTTTACCCCATTATGTAAATAATATTTGTTCAGTGTAGAACATACAGACAAAAAGAAGGAAATAAAAGTACCCATAATCATACAAAGCCATACAGAGATAATCACTATTAGCAATTTGGTGTTTGTCTAGTAAACATACAAAACCATACAAAGATAATCAGTAATAGCTGTTTGGTTTGTTTAGTCCTTTTCAACGTTTGCATAAATAAGGTGGATTTCTCTGGGTATATTCATATTTATCTGTCTCTCCTTGGGAAAAATAATAAAGTGAAAAAGGACTTTTAACAGCTGTGCTTCCCCCCACACACATCCCGCAAACTACATTTAGAAAAGCAACTTGAGGTGGGAACCTTAAATTCTGTTCTACATGTAAATATTCCTTAGCGTTCAGGGCCAATTTAGGTACAGTCCCCAGCTTTAAAAAACAAAAAAACCTCTTATTAGAGCTACATAACTAGTAGTGACAGAGAGAAAAGGCATATTGCATTGCTATAGGGATGTGTTAGTATATGTATTAGCTATTGCTGCATTAAAAATTACCCTAAGCCCGCAGGCTCAGGACCACAGTCTCTGGGGACATGATCAGTCGACACAACATAGTACATCAAAATTGTGCTCTTCGTCCTACTTTGGTGAGTAGTGACTGGGGTCTTAAAAGCTTTCAAGTGGCCATCTATGATGCAACTGTTGGTCTCCTCTGACTTGGAGCAAAGAAGAGTGAAGAAAATCAAAGTCATTTGGAAATAGTTAGTTCAAAGACACGATGGACCATGAGAACCTCAGCCTTCACGACCTGAGACCAGAAGAACTAAAAGATGGCCTGGCTACCAATGCCAGCCACTTGGAAAGGGATCAGAATTGGAGATGCTATTTACAGTGGGAGGAAAAATGTGAAACAAAATTCAAAAACACAAAAATGACCCAAATTATTGGTCAGATAGAAGATTGTGGAACCCCGAGTCTATGGCCCCGGGTTATCCTTCAGGCCTAGAAATGGATTCAGTTCTGTGGATTGGCTCTCAGCCCAACAGTAGAAGGACCTGCATGCAGACTACCTACTCCAGGGAGATGCACCCATGTACCCTAGGGAGATACATCCCTTAGATCAATCGACCATGAGACGTCAGTGGGGTAGTGCTCACATAGAGGGAAAGCTGGACAGACAGGAATGTATAGATAAGGGCACAGGGAGGAGGTAGTCACAGGGAGGAGAGGAGGAGAGATTTTTATGGTTGGGGATTATAATTGGGGCTATGAAATCAAATGGGCATGAACTGTTGAATATTAAATCTGCTTTGTAAATTTGTACCCAAAGCACAATTAAGAAAAAAACTGCCCCAGTTTTAGCAGCTTAAAACAACAAACGTATTAAGTCAGTTTCTATGGGTCAGGAATCTCAGTATGGTTTACTTGGGCGCCTCTGACTCGGTCTGTGTCAAGGCTGCAGTCAGCGTGTCAGCCAGGGTAATAATTTTCTCAAGACTTGACTGAAGAGGATCTGCCAAGAGACATAGATAGCTGTTGAAAGGCCTCAGAAGATCCACTTTTTGCACATTCATGTAGCTGTGGGTTGGTGTCAGGTCCTCATTGGCTGTTGGCTGGAGGCATCCGTTCCTTGCCATGTGGGCTGCTCACAACATGGCCACTTGCTTCCTCCACGTGAGGGCTGAGAGAGAGAGCAAGACTGAAATCAGTCTTAGAACTGAATCTCAGAAGTAGTGTCCATTACTTTAGTTGTATTGTGTCTGTTAGAAGTGAGTTACTAGGTCCAGCCCACACTCAACAGGAGGGAATTTCACAAAGACAAGAAGGTGGAACTCAATGGGGGCCATCTTAAAGGCTGCTTACCACCAAAAAACAAACCTATTGCTGTTGAGTTGATTTTGAGTAAGTGACCCTGTAGGACAGAGTAGTACTGCCCATAGGGTTTCCAAGGCTAAATCTTTATGGAAGCAGACTGTCTCATCTTTTTCCTGTGGAACAGCTGGTGGGTTGCAATCACTGATGTTTTGGTTTACAGCTGAGAGCTTTACCCATTGCACAACAAGTGCTGGCTTCTGCTTACCACCAAAACAACAAACCAAACTCACTGCCATCAAGTCTATTCCAACTCATAGTGACCTCCATTGGGTTTCCGAGGTGGTCAACCTTTATGGAAGTAGAATGCCCTATCTTTATTCCACAGAGCAGCTGGTGGGTTTGAACCACCAACCTTCTGGTTAGCAGTCAGATGCCTTTGGCACTGTGCCATCAGAGCTTCTTTTGCCTACCACAGTGTATTATACATCTTTTTTCTAATTGCTGTACCATTGTGATGAACTGATGAGCCAGTCTTTGTAAACAGGGTTACGTCACGAATTTTAAATAAAACCTTGCCTTACATAACAGTGGCATGCAAAGGATAGTTGTTCTCTTCAAATAATAGTATTTGGTGGTGTGGTAAAATCATGTGTCATTCTGGAATGACTAATTTGAAATCATTCTCGAATCTTTTTTTTCTTCAGCTTTTTTTTTTTTTGGACATATAACTGTATTAGAAGTAAGTTTTTGAGTATTATTACAAAGATTTTGTACTTGATAAATCACAAGCAAATGTCATGAGGCTGATTTCTTCCTGCAACTCAGTATGCATCTTGGCTGCCACCTCTTACAGCTACTGGTTTATGTAATACACATTTTAATTTTAGTAATAGCCTTCTCGGAGCTCTGGTAGCATAGGGGCTAAGGCACTTGACTGCTAACCAGAAGGCTGGCGATTCAAACCCACCAGCCACTCTTCGGAAGGAAGATGGGGCAATCTTCTGTGTGATACTGCCTCAGAAACCCAAGGAGAGGTCGCTATGAGTCGGGTCCGACTCGATGACACACAATAGCCTTCTGACAATGTAGTGTCACACTAGACACTAGAAGACCCAAACAATTGACTTTTACCTAGAAATCAGTATGTGAAACCTCTTGAAAACAAAACAAATAAATATAAAACATTTTTTTGACCTTTAAATAAAATAATTATTAAATAAAATAATTCAGATATTCATTAATCATTTACTTGGCAGCTGGGTGAGGATACTTTGATCAATCATGTCCAAAAGCAGGCAGATCCATTGCTCATGAAATACAATTTTATTTTTTTCTCTGGGATATAGAGCCTAGTTTAAGTTGACTTGTGGGCTGTATACCTAATAACCAAGTATGAAGTCATACCCATAATAACTAATTTGACAGCTAACCATTTTATTATGTAAAAATCTGCATATATTTTCCGAGCCAGAAATAGTATCAGTTTTAAGATCATCCTTGCCTTTATTCACTGTTCACTTTGCTGTACTAAGAATAATTGTAATGATGTAGTATTTATAATGGCATGTTCTTGGACTGTATTTGCAGTATATTGACCGTCTCTGAACTTGAGCATGACAAAGTTGAAGGTGAACAAAAGAAGGATTCTCCGGGTAGTGTAATAGCTTTAGATTCTCATCAAAATAATGAAATAAACTCAACTGAACAAAATGTAGAAGACAACATTGAAGGTGACAGAAAATCCAAACCAAAAAAAACAAAAAAGAAAGCTAAAGCAGGTTTGTTACCTATATTAAATGAAAAATATGTGCTTGTTAGAAATGACTTGATTTGAGAAATTAATCCTTAGAACAAATGGGAACCTGGTCCCAAAAGATAATTGAAAATACTCCAACAAAGAGCACTTGGTCCTTATTTTTTGATTCATCTAGATTAAAACTTGTTTATTTGTAACTGGATCTCTGTGGCCAGTTTATATTCTTTGAATCATGTCTTAATTAACTCTTTGCTTCATTTAACTCGACTCTAGAATGATACGGACTCTGTAGTAGCTATTGTGGCATAGAGGATTTTTTCCTTATACCAGTGAGTTCACAGGCCATAAATGATTAAGATACATATATTTTTTTAAAATGCATAATTTTTGAAAACTGGAAATGCTCAACCACATTATAGATATTAAGGGTGTATCTCTTTCCTTCACACTGTCTCTTTGAAATTCCTTATCTTTCTTTTCTTTCCTGCTATTTCTTTCCTTCTCTTGCTTTCTGTTTTCCCCTTTTCTCATTTATTTTCTCTTTGGCACTAAAACACGCAGTTTTAGAATTTATGGTACTAATTCATTAGGGGGTACAATTGAGGTGTTTTCTGATTTCTATAATTTTATTAAAATATACAGATAGATTAATGTACATTTCACACTTAGTGTGATTTTTCACAAATTGAACAAACCTGTAAAATGATTACCTAAATCAAGAAAGAGAACCTCATTAGCCCCGAGGCCTCCTTAAGTCAGTTCTAGTCAGCTGCTCTTCAGGAGTAGCCTATCCTGACATCTAATGCAGAGTGCATTTTTGTCATTTTTGTACTTTATGTAAACAGAGTGGTAAAGACTATGTTCTTTGTACCTGACTTTTTTTCCTCAACATTGTATTTGTGAGATTTAACATTTTTGTGTACAGCTGGGCTTTTTCATTCTCATTTCTGTTTTTGTATTTTATCCATTGTTGAAATGTACCATAATTTATTTATCTAAGTCTACTGAATTGTTTCCATTTTAGGCTACTAGATATAAAGCTGCAGTGAACATTTTGGTTATGTCTTTTATTATTATTATTATTATTGTGACTTGGGTGAGAGTTTACAGAGCAAATTTATTTTTCATACAGCAGTTCACATATGCTTTGTCTCATGACATTGACTGCAATTGCCACAGTGCAACAGTTCCCCGCCCACTTCCTTCCCATAATTACTGCTTCCCTGTGTCCTTCCCTCACATACACTCCTGCCCCTTGAGCTAGAGTCTCCCTGTGCATAACAGCCCTTCTAGTCTCCCATGATTGATCTCTCCAAAGAGTGTATCTACCTAATGTAAATGTTCAATTCATATGTCTGTTTTTTGCTTGGCTGGAAGCCACAGGTGTGGGTTCAATTCTAGACCTGAAGGGCAGCTAGGGGCCATAGTCTCAGGGGTTCTACCAGGCTCTAGCAGACTAGCGAACATGATCCCTTTTATTTTTTTTTATGATTTTGAGTTTTGTTCCACATTGTTCTCCTACTCTATCCAGGATCTCTTACATAGATCCCCCTCCAAGTAGTTGACAGTGGTAGCCGGGCATCATCTAGTTCTTCTGGTCTCATGGTCATATAGGCTGAGGATCGCAGAGTGTACCAGTTGCTAGGACTAATAGTTTCTATATGTATTTGGTTTTCTTCGTCCTTCTTTGCTCTGGATGAGGAGTGACCCATCGTTGCATCTAGATGGCCACTTGCAAGCTTTTAAGATCCCATTCACTACTCACCAAAGTAGGATGTGGAACGATGTTTTTGTGTAATATGTTATGCCAGTTGAGCTTGATGTCCCCTGCAACCATGGTCCTAAGTCCACAGGTCCAACTATTCACTCCCTCTGGGTAACTGGTTGTGGCCAAGAAGTGACTACAACCTTGAGCCCTGTCACCTCTACTGTATATCTTGGAATTCTTATAGAACATACCAGTATACTTGTAGAAACATTGTCTGCTGATCCTATACATGGTCATGGGCACACTACCCCCTGGATAGACATACCTACTAGTTCAGCCTGTCTACCCATCTATCCACCAATTAATGCTTGCCTTCATGGACAACACAGTACTGTATGTACAAAAGGGTTCTTCTTTGTTGTCTGTACCTCCTTTGCACCTCGCTATATTTTCCTCTTCCTCAGTGCCACTGTATTGATCACTCACATTTGGTACATTGCCTTTCTCTTCATCCAAATCAGTACTTGTCTCTACCTATCTAACAGTGTTCCCTCTCCTCCACTCCTACCCCTAGTAACCAACAAAGAAAATTTCCTTCCATACATAAACCTTTTCTTGACTTTTACAATAATGGACTAAAAGAATATTTGTTCTTCTGTTATTGACTTATTTCACACAGCATAATGTCTTCCAAGTTCATCCACATTGTGTGGTGTTTTGCAGATTCTATGCTTTTCTTTAGGGTTGCATAGTATTCCATTGTGTGCATGTACCATAGTGTGGTGATCATTCTTCTGCTGATGGGCACCTAGTTTGTTTCCATGTTTTGGCTATTGTAAATAGTGCTGCAATGAATATAAGTGTGCGTGTATCTGTTCTTGTCCTGACTCTTACTTCTTTAGGTTATATACCTAGTAATGGAATTGTTGATCAATGGTATTTCTAATTCCAACTTTTTAAGGAATTGCCACACTGCTTACCACAGTGGTTGTATCATTTTGCAGTCCCACCAGCAGTGTATGAGAGTCCCAATCTCTCCACATCCTTGCCAGCGTTTCTTACTTTCTGTCTTGTTGAACTTTTCTACTAGTGCTGGGGCAAGATGGTATCTCATCGTTTTGATTTGCATCTCTCTAATGGCTAATGATCATAAACGTTTCTTCATGTGTTTGCTGGATGCCTGAATATCCTCTTGGTGAAATGTCTATTCATGTCTCCTGCCCATTTTTTAATTGGATTATTTGTCTTTCTGTTGTTGAGGTGTTAACAGTTTTCTATAAATTTTAGAGATAAGTCCCTTGTCAGATAAGTCATTGGCCAAATATTTTTTTCCCAGTGTGTAGGTTTTCTTTTGACTCTTTTGGAAAAGTCTTTGGAAGCACATGAAAATTTAATTTTTAGACAGTCCCTGCTTGAAAAATTTCCCTCAGAAAGATCAGCACAAAGCTGACGATACCGATCTGTAAACTAAAGCAGCTCTTTCACACTATACCCTCTGCTTTCAGTAGTTTCATGGCTTTGCCTGTTCCCTTCCCAGACTACCTTTTTGGTGACCAGTGGTCTTACCGGTACTGCCTGTTGTTCTGACACAATTTTTCCTTTCTGGGTAGGCCCTGAAACTAGGGGTCGTAGCTCTAATTGGACTGAATCTGAGCTTGATTCAGTGCTACAACCCTGCTCTGCATTCTTTTTCCCTGCCATTGCAGCTATTGCCAATAACAGCAACCAAGGAATGATAAGTCTAGCGTTTTCCTTGTCATTCTGTATTTCCATATACATACAACTAGCCAATTCTTCAGGAGTTAGATCCACCTCTCCTAAATCCCATGAATAGCTTTTGCTTTGGGTGACCGATCTCAACAAAAGAGGTGCTTCAATCCATGGGTTTCTTTTATCCCATCCAGAAGCTAAAGGTTTCTTACTTTCCCATTTATCTCCTTTCTCCCAAAATCACGTATTCCAGAGAGTCTGGGCCGTTGCAGCAAATCCCACCATTCTGACACTAATTGCTTGAACAATTTTTCTCAGAAAGATCAGCACAAGGCCGGTCCCCATGAGGCGGAGGTTAAAGATGTCCCAAATGTCCAAACTACCATGCCACTTCATCATTTCAGACATTAACTTCTCCTCCTTCTCCCAATAATTTCCCCAGTCTTAGGGTTCTGTATTTCGCTGTAATGCCTCATAGAACTCACAGACACCCAAGGGTTCGTCTCACGTAGTAGGGGTGGAGGCTGGCAGGCTGATAAGTCCCAGGTCCATGAGTGGGTCTGGAGGATCCTCCCAATTCTCGGGGTTTGATGAACCTCGATCAGCAGATCAGATGGCGGCTGCTGTCCCAAATCCAGGGGTGAGATGAGGATGATCCAAGACACAAAGCCAGAGCAAGAGGAGAGCGAATCTTCCCAGGAGATTCGTAGGTATACCCTCAGGGAAGCTAAGGGTGGTGATTTGAATTAT